GGCTGTTTTCATAAACATAATTAAGTAGACGCTCCTTGAAATAGATACGTGTTATGATTTCTTTGAAGTAGGAACTGAATTTTGAAGTAGTGTTTCGATGATCTTCATATTTCAGTAGCTACATTTCATTTTGAGAGCACTGTGTCCGGAATTCGAACTAGATAACTTAAGATAAGTCAGACTCTTTACGGCGGGAAACCCTGAAGAGGAGAAGAGACCACTTAGAAGTCAGGCAGAGATGTGAGGATAATATTAAAATGTATCTTGGGGGAAACAGGGTGGGAGGTTGTGGATTAATCTGATCAGGATAGTGGCCGATGGCGGGCTCTTGTGAACGCGTTAATCAGCCTTTGTGTTCCATAAAAGGCAAGGAATTTCGTGGCTAGCGGAGCGTTCTGTCAGCTTGTGCTGGACAATTCTTCGCAATGGAGTTACGTAGAAGTTGCGCTTATGCGAGTTTATGTAAACATTATGTCAGGCATTCACCACCTATTGTTACGATCCAACCTGAGCATAGTATATTTTGTCCAGGGGCCATGTCATTGCTCAGTTTGATGTTAATTTAATTGTATGTGTTCGAGTGTGATAGCTGGAAAAGCGTAAAGTGGGTCACGGTTTCCAGTAAACAGCTCATGGCTTGCGGCAATACCAGGTGCATTTGCAAGGTCTTATTCATGAGACCTTCATTCCAAGTGACAGAATATCAGACTCATTTTCCAGACAGTTCTTGTTCTCAGTTCTTTAGCACTGGATATTGTTTAAGGTGTCATCCAAAAGATCGTAATTATCGAAAATAATGGAATGGGTAAAATATAAGATTTGGAAGAGAATATAACAAACAACGGTTTGGTAAAAGAACCTGTGACCTTCAAGACCAATGCCTGTCTTTGAACACGTTCCTGAACTAATTCCTTCCGCTTGTCGTCCTCACGTTGTTTCTCTGTGATGAATCTTCCTATTTCCTCCACGGACACTTTTCTCAGAGGAGTCGGCATCAAAGTTGGACAGATATTTAAATAGTTTAAGGCAGTTTTATGTCATAGTAGGTGCTTATTAGAGATGTTCTTGTCAGAATAGTTAATATCGCGTTCTAGATCATGGGTTTATCGTAGTTGCTTATTTCATAGTTTAACGTTACGATGACATGAACCCCTGATTAGTGCCCAGGTTCTGTTACGTAGTTTATGAACATTTAACTCACTTGGAAGACACAAACGATTCACGTGGAACTATAAGTGAAGAACAAAGTGGAAACGGAACACCTTGGGGTTCATTAACATTTTAAATTTATTATAGTGCTATATTTGTTTTCTCCCAGTAGGAAGGACATGATCTCTCAGACATTACATGCAGACATGCAACAGACGTTGCTGGATACTGCTGCAGTTTATGCCATTAGGCGAAATTCAAGCATGACCGAACATGCTGACTAATAGGGCGTCCATCAATGTGTCTCAGTCTCTCTCTTTCTCACTGGTTGGGAGGGGGGAGGGGCATTGGAAAGTTGTTTCTTCGCCTTTTAGAAACGCGGCGTAACTGTATGAAGGATTTTTATCGTTCGGAACCCTGTTATCGATGTGCACATATTTGTCTGTCCGTCCCCGATTCAGCTACAAACATATTATACATACTAATCGACACCAACAGGGCAGGGCCACCCATAGGGGGATTCTGAGCATTGGTCAAATTAACCTATATAGGGAGATTTACATTTTATACAAGTGATAAATGGCCAACTTCAAGGGTAACAGCGGAAAGGTTTGTTTTTATGTATTCTGAGATGGTTAAGTTTTTCCCCAGTGTTAATTACAATTTTTTTTAAAAAACGTTAATATAAGTATGGATTATATTCAAACGTTAAATTTTACAATCTGGAACCATAATGAAACCAGAAGTAACGTTACCGAATAATAAATAATTTGTATATTTAAAACGCGAAATATAACAAACATTTATTTTAATTTATGATTCTGTTATATAGGGTAGAATGAGCCCGTTATTAATAGATCAGCAGCACACCTGTTTGACTAGCTCATTTCGTTGGCTTAGAAGAGGCAACTTTATTATCAGCCACGACTTTTGGTTGCTTCGTTGACAACAGTATTATGTATATATTCTTATTATGGAGTAAAGCGGCGAACACGGCTTCACAAAGCTCGAGGTAGTTAAGACATTAAAATTAGCAATGACGGGATTCAGGTAGTTGGACGAGGGGACATTTCAATTCAGTGTGAATTAGCTTAGGAATGGAATTCAAGAAATAAATTTATGATTTGTTTCTGCTTTCAGAGTAGAGACGGCATCTGCTTATTTCGTCGGTATAGACAGACAGCTACTGCCTGCCCTCTTTGTGTGTGTTAATCGCAACGTTTGCCAAATCGTTAGATAATTGTCAACATTCTGCGCAGATTATTCCCGAAAGTCAAAGTCGTGCATTGAACCCCAGCCGCGGAAACCTAAGGACAAGACAATCCAGAAGACAGACATCGTCATTATGATCATTTATTAGGCGCGTTCTGTGCACGATGGGGGAATGATTAACTTGGCTACGTTTTGATCGATTAGCCTATGCACGTGAGGACTAAACAACCGGTTCCTGGTCGGTCCCTGACGTGTAAACATAACCTCACATGTCGCATACCTGGTAGATATGCTTTCATTGCGGTATGCTATAAGGATGTGATTGATTACCTTAATAAATATTTGTATATCAGATCATGAGTTTATGGCGGCAGTAGACCTGAAATTTTCGTGTGGTACGTCTTATGACGAAATCATATGCTCGTGGTGTAAGAAAGAACATGATTTTTTGTAAAACTGTAGCATTGTTCACATCATCTATCATGTTTTGCCACACACTTCTCCACCATTCAGATGGGTCTGTTGGAAAGCGTTAGTTTGTGGATTCACACTGGGCTGCCATATGTAAATTCACATCCACAAAGAAGTAAAAAAGTAGACAGTTTCCTCGAAGTGTTTAAATGTATTAATGTACGTGAAGGGGCGTGTTTAGAAGGCCCGAGAGCTTTGTAATGAGCGAGAGCTTCTTTAACTCGGGACACAAGATACTGAAGTCTGGAGAAAATTCCACAGTGAGACGTTTCGTAATTTTTACTCGTCGCCAAATGTTATTAGCAGCTATAGATGGTTGAGGCGTGCATTCTGAAGATATCAAAGAAAGAGTCTACTTGGATGACCTGGGCTTAGATGGAGGTGCATCTTTAATTTGGTCGAAGGTGTGGACTTGGCTCACGATATGATCCAGTGGCAGTCTGTTCTGTATTCAGCTTTCATAAATGGCGCTGGATTTCGTAACTGAACTTCTTAAGGACTCTATTCCATGAAGTTGGGTTGTTTGTGTGGCTGGTGTACTACCCGGTTTCAAGTGCGTTGGGCTGCTTTCCTCGGGACGTCACTTCTCTTCCGTCATTCACACGCCGTCGATTTTAACCTCCGCAACTGCCCCTGTGAGTCAGGACGTAAGGAAGGGAAAATATACAATAAACGACTCTCTCGACACGCCTGTTTGAGCTTTGCCTTTGGTGGGTTTCGACATCAGAAATCTATTATGGAGCCAGAAGTGTGGAAGTCTACAACACGCCGGTTTCGTGCCTTATTTTACATTTCTTGAATTGCAACGAAACCTTCTATATAAATTAATATTTTATTTGCGTTTGGTTTAAGTATGTTCCTTGTACAAAATGCTCCTGACTGTACCAAAGATCAGGGCAGTGGCGGTAATATTTTTATTAAAACTATAGCCTATTTGTTGTGTTAAATATCTTGGAGAAGCATGCTGTGAGGATGGCAGGCTTTGTTATTACGGTGGTAGACATTCTGGTTTTGTACCACATTCTTAACTTTCTAGTCGTGTTTCATGCCATATATCAGGCGACTAGACGCTGGCTTCTCACCGTGAAGACCTGGGTTCTCTTTTGGGTTGTTCAGATGAGATTCGCTGGTGGACGAAGTGTGTGAAATCAATACTGAAGAAACGTAAATTAAAAGGGGACCAGCTGTAGAACTGTAGGAATAGAAATTGAAAGTTTACGGTCGTCTTTGTATCTCTGGTCAAACGCAGATCACAAAAGCAGAGTCGTAAAACATACATGGAGTGACTTGAAGGTACTCTGGTATTTGTGTGACGTACAGTGAAAAATGTGTAGGTTATGCCAGGCTGATCGCATATTAGGCCCCACTACTGATGAATTTAAAAAGTTCAGTATGTTCATTTATCAAGAGAAAATTTGGATTCGTGATCCCAATAGATGTCAGGTGGGTCTGTACTTTGTAGTAGTTGTAGGACATGATGTTGTCGTGGGAATGATGGTATGAAGAAGTGAAAGTGCTCAGATACAGATTACTCTTTTAACAGGTAGAATAATATGTCGTAAGTTTCGAATTTATTTGAATAATGGACAAGGAAAATCATTTGTATAGAGTGAGACAGTTATAATTTATTCGGATTTTTTCCCCTCGGTTGTGTTGCTGATCCGTGTGAAAGCAAGGTGACTATGGAAGCTGCGCGGACCTTCTCGAAACCTTCAGTGTGGAAGCTTGGTGTCGCATTTGTTCGTAAATCACTAGAATGTCTATCTCAAAATCTTGTGTACGAAAGAAATCTGTGGCGCTTCAAGCTTTCATTCCTTCTGTTTTATAAATCAATTTAAGCTTGCGTCTTTGCTCTGTGTTTGCAGTAAATTTCGAATAATTGACGAAGTTGAAAGTCATAATATTCGATATTATTCAACCTAAGTCAGCGTGGTACAACTGGCGGCCCGCGAATAGTTGGTACAGACCAGTATATTTTATTTCCTCTAAAGGATTTGAAAAACTGATTGTGATTCTCATCTCGTCTTTGCTTTACGCACAAGTGTCACATGTCGGTACGCTTTATCTCCAATGTTGCTTTACGCACAAATGTCACATGTCGGTACGCTTTATCTCCAAGCGCAAATTGTACTCCTACCTGTCTAATTATGTGGTTGTCTTTGCTGCAGGTGGTCCCCTCAGCTGCTGACAAAGTGACCCGACAGATACAGAGCAAGTTGGGCGACTATAACGCGGTGCAGCACATTCTAGAAGATGATTCCAAGCGCTTGATTGGGATTGATGGTGTCCCTGCCAGCCCGGCACCTGCCGGTAGCCACACGTTCTTTCCGGCAGCTGCCGCTGCACGACTACAGCAAATTCCGGAATTCAAGAAGCCATCCACTCATCAACATGGCAGTACTGGGAACAGTGGGAGGGGAAATAATCATTATCATCCCCATAGCGCTCCTCGAGGTGGATTTGTGAAGCCTGCAGATGGGAAACCACCCCATGGAGGTCGGGGTGGGTATCCTGGGCAACCTGTGAAGCATGGTGGAGGCAGCAATGATCACCGGTCCAACGGTGGCATTGTGCCGCCGAAGGGGCCACCTCAAGGCGGTGGAAGTGGAGGCGGCGGCAATTGTAGCAACAGCAGGATGCAACAAGTTGCGAGGACTCTTCCGAGACTAAATGTTAACCAGGTTAGTTTGTATTATGAACAGCCGATTTTAAAGCTCTTTGTTTGACATCCAACTGCAACTATAACAAACATGCAAATTATCCTGATTTAGGCCCTTCGTTGTTTTCCTGTCGGGGAATTACTTTGAAGTAGACCATGGCCACTTCATTCCATATCAGTTCGAATTTACATTTTATGGTTGTGCACCTTGGTTAACGCTGTATGCACACTGTCATTTCTGCAGTACATTTAAAGTAAATAGGTAAATGCACACACGCCTTTGATAAGGAAAAGTGATGTGAACTGGTGAAGTAAGTGACCTCTGAGCAAGTGCACGTAAGTGGGTCACGTGCTTCTGGTGGTAAGGACATTCATTTCAGCTTGTCATAAGGAAGTTTCTGTGCAAATCACTCCTCTATGTGATGGCAGAGGGCACGGAATGAAATTTGCGCGTTACATTAATTTAACGCATTTAGTCACGTGGAAAATTTCTGTGTAGCTTTTCCGTGTTAAGCAAATGTAGTTAGAAATTTCTTATGTGATGTGGCATTTGTTCTCATTTAATTTATAGTTTGTAAATGGCACTCAGATTTGTCTCAGTAATTTCTCTCTTTTTACTGATCGTTCCAGTCACGGACTTTGCATTTTCTATTTTTCTACACACATATTTTCAATACCATTTCACAGATAATTTTCTTTCTGAAAAATGAAGTTAACGCACTCCTGCATCTTGGTTGTGCAGGGAACACTATAAAACTAATATTCCTAAAGAAACTAAGCAGTACCATTTAGCGCTTCTGTGCAAATTTATCTTAAAACATTTTCGCCGAAGCGTCTGCTAATTAGTGCTTTTTCTTACAAAATCTTTTGGAGTATTTGTCATAGGCATACCCTCAGATGGTATACCAAGCAGGCTGGTGTAGCAGTAATCCTCTAGACCAGTGGTATTCAACCTTTTTTGTTCGCGTACTCCCAGATATAATTTCTCTTCGACTTTGTACCCCCAAAGTTGCTGGTGTGTAATTGAAGTTACACATAGTTTATAATCTACATCTAAAATAAATTAAATAAATTGCATTACTGATTATTCAGTGTTATCATAAAATAATTTTTTTTTTTAAATTTCACGTACCCCCTAAGATGTCTTCGCGTACCCCAGGTTGAATACCACTGCTCTAGACTTGTGTTAAAGAGGTACCAGATTCAAATCTTGGTGGAATAAGTGGCTAGCTCGACAGCTTTTCTCAGTCTCAAGGAGATGATGAATGCTGGAATCGTATGGTATGTCACATTAGGTCAGAACAACGTCTATCCGTAATTCTACCTCCTTAGCATTTATGAACATCTTCTCAACTCATTTAACACACTATGACTTGCATTTGAAACAGCATTTTAAATAGGTTTACCCTAGGAATCAGTCATTATTCAGCACAGTGAAATGTATTATTACGGCTTAGACACACTCAAAGTGTCAGTATAATGACAGCCGGTCACGTGAAAATGGGAGTGGAGCCAACTCCCAGTGGACAGTGTCCAAAAGCTTTTCTATAGCAAAGTTTACAAAAAGTTTTATGTCTGTGTGTCCCGTGTGCCCCTGTGAGGTGACGAATAAACATAGAGGGAGTGAATATTCCAAAAATTCTGTGTTTGACCCTCACCACGGTGGTCTAGCGCTTAGAACGCTGGGCTTGTAATACTGGGGTCCCGGGTTCGATTCCCGGCGGTGCTCAGGCAAGGCCGTGGTCAAGGCATCACGGTGTTTTCCTCCTGGGTTTCCCCGGTTTCTCCGTGGCATCCCAACAATTACTCCACTTTCATCATCATTTCGCAAAAAGGGGGTCACAGCAGGAGCGTTAAATGTCGCGGTCCCGATCGAACCCATGTACTGATGGGTCGTGAATCCTGCTAACCACCAATGCCCACCATGCTGAATGGTGCGTACTGGATACGGAAAAAAAAACCATTGGTATTTATGGTGAAAATAAAACAAAATGGATCTGTCAGAGTCATAATAATTAATTATCAAAATATTCAGCTCTTGCTCATACCAGACGTATAAATGCTGAGGAAATTTCGAATGGGAATGTGAACTGGATTGAATTGTCTTGCTTTTAGCAGAGTTAAACCTCAGATTCTGTTATCAAAGAACTGAGTTTGGAGTAATGGTGATTTGCCTTCTGTGTTACAGCCACCAGTTGCAGGACAAAGGGAGTCATCACAGCTCGGGAGTGCAAGTCAAACTGAAGTTGATGTCATCCTAAAGGTGAGAATAGCTTGCAGGCTCTTAACGTTTTGTCGTCTTTATTGATGCAGCCACGTTAACCACACATTTAGTCTATGTTCATGTTGGCCAGTTGGCATATCAACCCGACTGGAACAGGGCCCTTCCGTGTGTTTCATCAAGCCACACTTTTCTGCACAAACAAGCCCCTCGAAGACCTTGTAACCTGTCAATTCTGAAGCCACGAAGTGTGTCCAGTTCAGCCGAGAGCGGAAAGGTATAGTCCAGTGGAGTACACATATTTTCAAACTAGATTTTTTGTCATTTTACACACTTATTTGGTTTTGATATTGACTTAATTATAGATATAAATATATTTAAGATTTGAGGTTTTCACGGCGGCGAGTATGAAGATTTCTGTCTTCTGGGTTGTTGCGCTGTGGGCATTTTTGTGTACTCCACTCGATTATTCCCGTAGACCTGAACTGGCATGTGACAGTGTTTTAGAATGTATCTGAATAGTTGTTATTATAGATCTTGGAGAAGCAAAATCATTCTTTTCGCTTAAGAAGATTCTTATTTTATAAAATCGCATAAATAATGAAGAATGGAGAGAGAGAGAGAGAGAGAGAGCGAGAGAACGTGGGTAGTGTAATTTTCATGTTTGAGGTGCGGAGGTTAAAAAGAAAGCGTCTTGCTTTGAAAGTACATGAAGTTTGTACATTCTTTGTAGCGTACTAGTTTTGTATGCTAGACCGTACCTGATGAGCTTGTTTCTTTTAACAGGAAATGACAGAGGTGATGGACATGACCCCTATCACTGGTATAGCGACTCCAAGAAAAGAGACCGAGAGCAAGTTCACGTTCAACTCTCTTCTTAAGGTAAGCCTCAACCTGTTTGTCAGCTGACGTCAAAGTAAAAAGAGTGCTAAAGGCAGAACATTTTATATTTATTATAAAGAGCACACACAAAACTGTAGACTGATTTATGCTCTAAAAAGCTTCATTTTGCAATATGATTTCACTATACCAACACTTATCACACGACTACACTAAAATTTTACTCCAGACCATAACACCACGGCGTCAACACACGACAATGAAACGTGGCGAAGGTGAGAGATAAAACAGCAACACATGAGCACTGACAACAAAAGTAAAGCTTTAAAATTTTGTTGCGCTGTTATTATTTTGCTGCTTCCTGCCTGCTTTTCAAAATCAACATATTAAATCATATTTATGTTAGGAAAGTGCAGCAGCTTAAGTGAGCGAAGTAGTGTACAATAAACGCGATGACAACGTGTGACAGTTGAAATGGTGTTGTAGAAGTGACCTTAGTGAAATTCTACAAAAGTGGTCCCCAACGCGGTGCCCGCGGGCGCCAAGGCTTTTTTTGGCTGCCCGCGTCGTTACGGAAAGAGGTTATACTGAACAATGAAGGCCGTTCAACCATGACATCATAAAATCAAAGCGCAGATCTCGACTTACTGACGCCCATCTTGACGATTGTTTGCGAGCAGCAACATCATCCTACACTCTCAAATTTGAAAATCTGGCCGATGAAATGCAGCGCCAAACATCACACTAACTTCCCACTTGAGTAATAATAATTGTATTTATAGAAGTACCTATATTTGATTGCACGGTTTCTTGCATCATTAAACGTCGTGTTTGTTTTGTGTATTATTCGGTGTCCATATCTTATTTGTCCAGAGAAAAGAAAATTTGGCTTTGTTAATTGGTTGGTGCCCGCCACGATCTCATAAACTCTCAAATGTGCCCATAGGCACAGAAAGGTTGGGGACCACTGCTCCAGACCATGCAGTATTTAATTCCTTATGATAGAACACTATTTGGGGTCTGCAGTGGTCGCATGGGTCTTGTGCTGCTCAGTCGCTGGGACTGTGGGTTCGAATCCCACTGAAGTCATGGATGTTTGTCCGCATTTTTCTGTGTTATGCTGTCCTGTGTACAGGTAGAGGCCTTGCACTTCCTCAGGTTGTAGTTTGCATGGATGACCTCTAGGTATGGAGGGTAGCTGTTGTAGACATCTGACAAGGGGTGGTCCTCCATGTTTGGGTTGGGAAGCCCTTTACAACCTCTCTGTATGACCAACACTCAAACAAACAAAGTAACAATGTATTTTAATCTCATTACAGAGTGGCAGAATATATTTTCAAGTTTATAGTCCAGTCGGTGCTGAACTTTTCAAAGGCCTTGCATTGTAATGCTTATACAGTAAAACCTCTCTAAGTTGGACACTTGGGGTTCCACGAAAATGTGTCCAACCTACAGAGGTGTCCAAGATAGAGGGAAAAATCAGATTGTGGTCTAATGAAAATATAATCTATTTACTTAAATACACAAACTGCTGTAGGCTTACTTGAATTAGGAATTAATGAAAATAGTATTGATAATAATCTTTTGAAGCCCACTCCCATGCATTACACATTACACCCCAGCCTCAGTAACATTTTATAAAGTTAATTCCACTAATTTTCGCTTCCCCATCGCAAAAAGAAAAATTCCATTTCTGTTAACACAGTCTGAACTCAAATGCAAGCACAGTACTGACGGAATTAAAACTGTGTCTTCTGCAATACTGTAGTCCGGTTAATGGTGCAGCAAAGGAATAGTTAAACGCTTGCAATGCATTCCAATGATGGGTTCAATGTCCATAAGATAATCCTCCAGAGAGGAGTAATTCATCAGTCAGAAATTCAAAATAACAAAATATGTAACTGGAAAAGTTTCCCTGAAAAGCATCGAAGTTAAGTGCGTGAACCTGTCCGACTTACAACAAAAGGGGGTGTCCAAGATACAGGGTATTGTGGACATGTAAAAGTATAGGATATTCGCCGGTTCCAATTAAAAGTGTCCAATATAAAGGGGTGTCCAACTTGAGGGTAATTTTAAACGAGACCTGGTTTTATCGTCGTACCTATACGTATGCGCATGGAAAAGGGGGCAGTGATCATTGTTGTACAATTTTACAAATGGGGAACAAATTCTGGACATTTTCAGTATAAATTATCGTCTTATCCTCTTCTTGTCTCTTGTTATCCTTCTACCCTACTTTTGTCCCTCTTGTTTTTGTTCATCACACTTCTTCCTCTCCCATCACTACTATAGCATTTCTAGTGACAGACTTCATGGTGAAGTAAGTGACTGGTTATGTGTCGATAGCGGGATTTCAGATCCAGAAGGGGAAACTGTCCTATCATCTCTGGGGACCGCATGGCTTCCTATCCCTGGGTGTGAAGGAGTCGAGAGTGAAAATAACGATTTTCCCCATATACAGACAGTCTGATTTATGTAAGGGTTCAGTTCTGCAAACTTTTATGCATGTTGAATTTTATATAGGTCAGAAATTGCCTTAAGTTTCCATCTGATAGATTTATTTGTAATTCTAGTCTGTTAAAAAAAAGATTGATGAATAGAGTAAAGAATTTTATTTAAGAAATCACTTACACTTTTATTTTTGGAAATTTCTACATAAAGTAGGATTTACGTTAGTCAAGGCTTGCATAAAATGTAAATCCTTGGTATAGTACGTCAATGTTACGTACACCTTCGTGGCATATTACTTATTCTTAGGGGGAGCTTGCTGAGATCTGTGCGTTAATTACCTTGATTGCATTGTGAAACATTTGTGGATACATGCAGAAGATTCTTCAATTCACAAATTAAACCCATCTAGTCTTGTAGAACCCACAGCTGGATGGATGTCCAGATTATGCAAATAATTCTTCTTCTTCTATGGCTCTCCAGCTCTCTGGTCCATATTCGGTCCATGGCCTCCTCAGTTCTCCTCTCCTGTTAGGTCCGTCTGTCCGAGGCTTTGATCGAGGTTTCGAACCGTCTTCCTTTTTACAGTGCAAGGTTGTTAGCCTTGCAACCAACCCGAAAGGTTGGGGACCACTGCTCCAGACCATGCAGTATTTAATTCCTTATGATAGAACACTATTTGGGGTCTGCAGTGGTCGCATGGGTCTTGTGCTGCTCAGTCGCTGGGACCGTGGGTTCGAATCCCACTGAAGTCATGGATGTTTGTCCGCATTTTTCTGTGTTATGCTGTCCTGTGTACAGGTAGAGGCCTTGCACTTCCTCAGGTTGTAGTTTGCATGGATGACCTCTAGGTATGGAGGGTAGCTGTTGTAGACATCTGACAAGGGGTGGTCCTCCATGTTTGGGTTGGGAAGCCCTTTACAACCTCTCTGTATGACCAACACTCAAACAAACAAAGTAACAATGTATTTTAATCTCATTACAGAGTGGCAGAATATATTTTCAAGTTTATAGTCCAGTCGGTGCTGAACTTTTCAAAGGCCTTGCATTGTAATGCTTATACAGTAAAACCTCTCTAAGTTGGACACTTGGGGTTCCACGAAAATGTGTCCAACCTACAGAGGTGTCCAAGATAGAGGGAAAAATCAGATTGTGGTCTAATGAAAATATAATCTATTTACTTAAATACACAAACTGCTGTAGGCTTACTTGAATTAGGAATTAATGAAAATAGTATTGATAATAATCTTTTGAAGCCCACTCCCATGCATTACACATTACACCCCAGCCTCAGTAACATTTTATAAAGTTAATTCCACTAATTTTCGCTTCCCCATCGCAAAAAGAAAAATTCCATTTCTGTTAACACAGTCTGAACTCAAATGCAAGCACAGTACTGACGGAATTAAAACTGTGTCTTCTGCAATACTGTAGTCCGGTTAATGGTGCAGCAAAGGAATAGTTAAACGCTTGCAATGCATTCCAATGATGGGTTCAATGTCCATAAGATAATCCTCCAGAGAGGAGTAATTCATCAGTCAGAAATTCAAAATAACAAAATATGTAACTGGAAAAGTTTCCCTGAAAAGCATCGAAGTTAAGTGCGTGAACCTGTCCGACTTACAACAAAAGGGGGTGTCCAAGATACAGGGTATTGTGGACATGTAAAAGTATAGGATATTCGCCGGTTCCAATTAAAAGTGTCCAATATAAAGGGGTGTCCAACTTGAGGGTAATTTTAAACGAGACCTGGTTTTATCGTCGTACCTATACGTATGCGCATGGAAAAGGGGGCAGTGATCATTGTTGTACAATTTTACAAATGGGGAACAAATTCTGGACATTTTCAGTATAAATTATCGTCTTATCCTCTTCTTGTCTCTTGTTATCCTTCTACCCTACTTTTGTCCCTCTTGTTTTTGTTCATCACACTTCTTCCTCTCCCATCACTACTATAGCATTTCTAGTGACAGACTTCATGGTGAAGTAAGTGACTGGTTATGTGTCGATAGCGGGATTTCAGATCCAGAAGGGGAAACTGTCCTATCATCTCTGGGGACCGCATGGCTTCCTATCCCTGGGTGTGAAGGAGTCGAGAGTGAAAATAACGATTTTCCCCATATACAGACAGTCTGATTTATGTAAGGGTTCAGTTCTGCAAACTTTTATGCATGTTGAATTTTATATAGGTCAGAAATTGCCTTAAGTTTCCATCTGATAGATTTATTTGTAATTCTAGTCTGTTAAAAAAAAGATTGATGAATAGAGTAAAGAATTTTATTTAAGAAATCACTTACACTTTTATTTTTGGAAATTTCTACATAAAGTAGGATTTACGTTAGTCAAGGCTTGCATAAAATGTAAATCCTTGGTATAGTACGTCAATGTTACGTACACCTTCGTGGCATATTACTTATTCTTAGGGGGAGCTTGCTGAGATCTGTGCGTTAATTACCTTGATTGCATTGTGAAACATTTGTGGATACATGCAGAAGATTCTTCAATTCACAAATTAAACCCATCTAGTCTTGTAGAACCCACAGCTGGATGGATGTCCAGATTATGCAAATAATTCTTCTTCTTCTATGGCTCTCCAGCTCTCTGGTCCATATTCGGTCCATGGCCTCCTCAGTTCTCCTCTCCTGTTAGGTCCGTCTGTCCGAGGCTTTGATCGAGGTTTCGAACCGTCTTCCTTTTTACAGTGCAAGGTTGTTAGCCTTGCAACCAACCCCCAACCTGGAGGAAAAGGGTACCTGTCTGACCTCTCCCCCTCGACCAATCTGGCTAGGGAGGCCCTACCAGTAGCTATGCTACCACCAGCATAGCTCTTGGGATCACTGAGGTACTCAAACCCCACCACCACGACAAGGCGCAGGCACTATTAAGTGGGGATGCGAGTAATTAAAACCCTTAAATAACATCTACATGCAGTCCGAGAAGTGATTTCTATGAACTGTTGTTAGAGCTAAATTGTGTTAACATCGGCAACGTAGACATACTTTGACCTCTGAAGTTAAGTGACACGTAGAACAGCCATCGTATGATGGGAGATGCAGAGAGCGAGGATGTTGCAGTCGGACACCCTGTTTACAGGCACAAGGAATTTCTGCGATTGGGAAAAGTGAATGCTGTCTGTCGTCAGCAATGAATCGTGGAGAAAACATACGACACTTAATTCAGAATAGTTTTTATGACGTTGTATTGTCATGAAGATGATTCTTTTTGGAAGGCATTGCTGATTGAAGTTCTCCAAAGCTGGATGGTTCCATCATCAGGTGGCAGGGACTGCGGGGAATTTTCACATGAATAATTTGGGCCCCATTGAGAGGGACTAGCTCTGCCCCAAGGGGTCCATCTGAATAGGGGACTCCTCTTCCCACTACCTGGTGGTGGAAAATCCAATTTCCAGAATGTCAGATATGGAAAAAAATTGTGATGGACAATGGACCAAAAGTGATCACATTTCACTCATGTTCATGGAAAGAACACATAATTACAGCGAGTTTTACAAAATTTGCTAATCGTGCGAGGCATGACAAAATATTTCTATGAATAAGGGGTGTAATTTTTGTGTGAAACGTTCTTTTTTTGCCTGTTAAACAATACATTTTCATTTAAATTAAGATACGGACCAGTTACAGGCTCTTAAACCTAACAGTTTGATAAAAGGCAGGGAATTTCTTGGTTGAGTGACTATCAGTTTTTCAAGAAATTGCTCTGCCCCATGGAGTTAATTAATGATTTTAAAGGAAACGAGTGTTTTAGTTTGAAAACTGATAAATACCATAAAATACGCGCAGACATAAATGGTGAGTTACTCAAACATGAGAGATGGCGTTAAATTGTTATCCCTGTGCTTTGAAAGACTGAAGACGGAAATCGGTGGGAAAGGCAGACACGGCGTTCTCTAGAGGCGTAACCCCTGTCACTTATACGTGTATAGTATGCTCAGAAATTAGTCCACCAGGTGCAGTGCGTCTCTTTGATGCTATGTTATCACAGTGGAGTGGTTGTAGTGGGAAATGCAAGGTGGTTATGTTGGCTCGTACTCTGGCGTAGCCGGACTTTCCTTGATATCGAACATTCTCGGGAGTTTGTTGCACTTTGTGACTGCCGTGCTAGTATGTGTAGCTTGCACCGTACGGTAGGCGGTCTCTCGCTCCAGGGAAATCAATGCCAAGTAGACGAGGCAGAGAGAGATAGAGAGAGAGAAAGAAAGAAAGAGAATATTAAGCCGGCATTTAGTTACCAAATTTGAAGTGACAAAAAGGGGAACTCCCGCGCATTAACGAAGTATTGCATGTTGCAGTTGGTGCTCCTTCCTTTGTTTTACGAAGTGCTTTTACAATTTTCGTTTTGTACAAGTAATTGTTGAAAGACTTTCTACGGCATTCTCGTAATGTTCTGAATGATAATAATTTGAATTGTAATTTCTTCTGTGTGTATATTCATACCCGTAATTTTAAACCAGGCAAATGCAAACTGAAAACTTAACATCACTGGTTTTGCGTGCTTGAAATGCAGTTGGTTCGTGGAGACGCCGTAACTACTCGGTTACGTAACACAGAATTTTAAGGTTCATAATCATAACCTTAGTAAATTTCAGTAATTTTGTGTGAGTACTTTCTGATTGTTCAGAGATACTGCTCAATGTAGTCTCGTTGAAGTTGTTCAACGTTTTAGAGGTTCTGTGCTGCCTCCATCATCAGGGCTGTATCTCATAAGGCTGTCTGACATCTTCATACTCGCCACCGTGAGAACATGATTTCGTAATTTCTGTTCGGTAGGCTTACAGAATAAAACACTTTCGTCGCACATCGTAAGCGTGCGATTTTGTTGGGGAAGTTGGTGTTTACTACAGCAGAGCACGTTTTTCATTCATGTTACGTGCGGAATTTTTTTTATTCGATTTATATTACGATTATAACATATTGAAATGTTACGTACTTTGGAACTTTTTGAAAATTGACACTTTCCTTGACAATGTTGCACCTCATAATTTTAACATATGCGCAGAGTACGAAGTAGATTAAAGCTTCGGTTTACACTGTAAGCTGACCTCAGTGTGTTACTCGACGCAATGTGATCCTATTTGTGTTAGCTATGACAGTGATAAAGTAAATTGATATACAGTAGATTCCGGTTAATTGGGTCATCGGTTAATCGGGGCAGCCCTTTATTTGGGACAGATCTTAGAGAAAAAAACCTTTTTTAACTCTTTTACGTGTAACATCGCATAATTGGGGCAGCGGCTTAATTGGGCCAGAGTGTTCTAGTCCCGATGTGCCCCAATTAACCGGAATCCACTGTAGTTCGATATCTCCTCGTCCTTTTACGCTTAATAAAGCTACTGTACGACCAGTACCACCGACATGAGTGACCTACGCGCGTGTCCACATGGCACAAACTGCATTTTTTCCCACAAAACTTTCACATTATGTTTTCATTAGATTGTTCTAGTTGATAATTTCACTAAGGTCGTTGAGTTTGTTTCTTTAGTAACAGTGAAAATCCATTTGGTTTCTTTACGAAAAATATGAAGTGAAAAATAAAGTATCTTTTCTTTGTCCGTGTGAAGCATCTCGGTTTTTTAAAAAAAACTGGTCAGTGATCTTCATTAAAATTTATCTCGCAAATTGTTATCTTGAGTGACCTACATCACTTTATCATTGTATGAAAATATTTGTGCCACTCTTTTAGTACCCAGTCTACTTTATTTAATTAAATTGGTTCTGCTTAATCGACGCTAAGATCTGTGGAGCGAAATGAACCTTTAAACACATCTGTTCATCAATGTTGCCAATAGACGAAGAAAATGTTGCTACTGCCTGGTTTTAACACCTAAGGAATGTGATTTAATTACGTTTGATATCTGGTGTTGCCAATAGACGAAGAAAATGTTGATACTGCCTGGTTTTAACACCTAAGAAATGTGATTTAATTACGTTTGATATCTGTTCCACCTGTATCAGAATTGTCACTTGAATTCGGTTTTGAATACGTCGATGTCTAGACACGTCTTTTGGACGGGCGGAGACAATGCAAACAGAATTTTGGTAGGCTAACCGTAACCAGCAAGTAAATGGAATGATAACGTTAGAAATTATATCAGATCTGAAGACTGGGAGGATGGAAGGTAGGTGGATCGTGTCCGGTGGTGAACTTTGATGTCAGCAGTGTTAAACTTTCGACTTCTGCTGCCATAATGTTTGGTCGTTATTAGGTTTATGGTCCTGCCCTCTACACGTAGTTTGAACATCATGCTGTCATCCGTTTCAAATCTTAAGAAACAGTAAACTTTAAGCTGTTGACAATTCGTACAAGATCTGTGTGTGAATGTTACAACAAATGAGGATTAATAACTTTCCTCAACCTTTTCAGCCCTTTTCTTCCGGAGTGGAGTGGAATGCCAGTGTACTCCGCACCATGACTTGACATTGTGTCTGCCCTGGATCATTTTCCTCTCCTCTTATCATGAATTTGTCTTTATTTTAAATTTATTTTTTTCAGTGCCCGGATTATACTGCATCAGCTACTCGCCACACGGATTACAGTAGAAATCGTAAGTGTTCTCTTCTACATTATTTTGCATTTTATGTCGTATTTGTATTTAATTGTAGGTGTATACGACACAGTTGGCAGCGGAACAAACTTGGGACTGTAGCTTCCCCAGCTGATACAGCATTGTTAAAGCCTGTTGTTTTAATGACAAGACGTAAAATTTCATAAGTTAGTCGTTTATTCCCCACGTGGTTGTGGCTGTGTGATTCCGTCATTACCTTGCAGCCCACAGTCGCGAAAGTATCGAAAAACGATAGTTGATATTTTTTGAGGTCCTTCAAATTATAAATTCGAGCCTACATCGTCACAGGAAGGCAGAATTATTTGGTGTTAGTGGGTATAATGCTGTGTTGTCCAACTGTGATCCTTACAAATTTTGATTCTTTGTTAATGTTAAGGTTGTAGTTTTCTGTTCGTGAACATAACTGTAGGGCCAGCGGACCACTTGTTAATAGGCCTGGAGTCGCTCTCAAGACTTATAGGCTATTATCAGATCCCTGTGTATATAGATACTATTTTATAAATAGTTTATTGATGTAGTCCTACGTCCAGATGATGGATTTCAGTTTAGAGGTTAAATGAGTGGGCAGTATGAAAAAGGAGACAGCGAAGTTCGTGTCTATGAATTACTAAATGACGGGCTCAAAATTGTGTCGCCCTGCGTGTCATACATGAGTTGCATTATGCCTTGTTTAACTCTACATGGTTTAAAATGGCTACAAAAATTGAAAAGACAATGTCTCCCCGTAGCCTTTTTTGCTGATTGTTTGCTGTATGTTATATCCTTCCGCACGTATGAAAAGACAGCGTAATTTGAAGTCCCAGAAAACGTATAACCGTGTTAATAATTTCTGGAAGCTTCTAATTTTAAAATTAGTTCATCTCCTGTGATCAGGAACGAGAGAAACCTTTCAAGAGCTTATGTTTCGTATATAGAAACGGAAAATTGCGTTTCTGGTCCCGTACGTCCATGTTCCGAGCCTATTTCTACAAACAGATCAGTTCATTCTGGCAAAGAGATGAACCAGGACGTCTTGTGGGTTGTCACATGCGAGTACGTATGGTTCGGTGGCTTTTACAAAACATTTTAAGGAGATGTTTTGGATATGGAACGTTCAGGAGTACACGACCTTCCTGTTGTGTGTTTATTTGATGTGCGTAGCTTTGTGGTCGTGCAATAGCTGTGACGTTTTGTCCCCGGGTTCGCGCCCAGCTCAGTCCATGTGGGATATGAGATGGACAAAGTAGCTCTGGGACTAGTTTTCCTATCACCGCTGCTTCATACTTGATCATGAATCATTTAAGGGATGTTAGAGGCCCAGTTCGATAGAGACATCGCCTAATCCTATCGGAACAGTACCAGTGTCAATAACACGACGTCGTGGCCAGTGGCAGTGCGCACTCCAATAATAGAGCATGCTGTCTCCATATGCCTTTGCTGCTTTGCGTGTCTCGGTGGCCTTGGTGTTTGTTTATTGCCGATACAAATAGGCCATGTTGCTGCCAAGCCAATCACGCAGCAGAGACTGCAGAGAGACAGAACTAATTGTTCCTCGTTGTTCGTTAAATATCATATCGGGAAATGGTTTACATAATAGTTATTTTACGTCTTCTGATGATTTTTGTGCGATTATCAGTTCTTGAGAAAATCTATAACGTTTTCGATTTGAACGTCATTTAAAGTAATATTGTAGGTCTACATAAATGAAGCAGCTAATTAACTCAATGGAGTGGAATTTTTGTTCAGAAATTTAACGTCCTCTTAGGTATTGAAGATGTTCCCGGCGTCATGTGAGTGCTGAAGGTTCATTACCGTAAGAACCAGAATTGTATTGGCGTCCCAATTTTTAATGTCGATCCTCAAACCAAATTTAATTTAAATCTGTATTGTGCGTTCGTAGATTGAAACATGAGGACAGACGGTTGGCCACGACATCCCCCTTTGACGTTCACTTCCTGTAATGAGCGAATAAGATCAGTAGGCCTACTACAAGTTGTACAGATGCCATGACCCCAAGTAGAACGTCTCTTTAGAGGAGTCAAGTGGTGTGGAGACAACTGTTGTGGTAGCTTAGTTTCCAGCAACTGCAAGTGTAGACTATAGGCTACTTAGTGTATTCCACACAAGTCGAAACGCGCTTAGCTCACACTTCACTGAGAATGTATACTTAATAGGGCGAAGGAAACGGTACTGAACAGTTACAATATGCTATATCTTATACAGTGAAGCCGGTTTAAAACGAACCCTGGTTTGAAGTGAAATCCGCCATTACCTTAAAATGTCCAAAAGTCCCAAAAGTGTAGGATGAAAAACTTATGCGAAATTTTGAGGTTTTTACTGCGGTAAAGATGATAATTATCATCATCATCATCGTCTGGATTTTGGTGCCGTGTGCACTCGTCTGTAGCCCTGAAGGCTAAACCTCAGAAGGTAATTATCAGTGCAAAAGTAACTCATGTAAACGGACATGGTGAGGCTAATAAGAATTAGTAGTTAATTACGTTCTTGAATGCGTGTGCCGTTCATTTGTTTTGGTCTGTGCTTTGCATCCTGGAATTTATCCGAGAGGAAACATTCCTGTTACATATGGAAAATAATTGAACCTTAGTGTCGACGGAATTCTTAAAATATCTAATGTCAGTACGTGAAACGAACCAAACGAGAACTTCGGAACAATTTATGACGGTTACATTGTACGTTGATAATTATCCAATGATGATCCGTCCTTGTGCACAATTTCCAGTAGGCAAGTTTTGTCAAATATAAGTTTCACACCATCGTAGTGTATGTCTGTGATCTAACTGCATACGAGAAGCCGCGCGTTCGCTCCCACCTCAGAATTCCGTACTACCGCCATATCGTCATTATTGAAGGCATGAAACTGAATATGCACAGGTGAGGTAACTTCTGGGGGCATTCCGTCATTTGATTTAAATGTTGTTCAATGGTGGGGCAGTTCCCCAGACGGATGGAGACGAGAGACTGAGAACGAAACTTAACCAAACTTGTTTCAGTGTTGGTTCTTTGGCAGTTGTGTCGTCCTGACAACATGAAAAAGTTGCACTAACTTGACACTGGGGTATTTTATCCGGTGCAGTTGTACTGGTTGCATTGCTATGACTCGGTCGCCAGAACCTCTTTGTGGTGGTAGTTTCCACCAATTGAATGTGAGGGGTTTTTTTCCACCGAGACAAGCATCCATATCCTTCACCCCCCCTCCAATTTTTGTATTTCAGTAAACAGTGAATGCCAGACTTCGGATTGTTCTAAAACGGATACGTGCTAATGAGAACACTGGTTTCAGTAAATTCGAAAATTAACCTGCCCCCTACTCCAAATTTCTCTTCAAGTAGCAGCTGTCGAGTCGGAGCCCCCCCTAAAGCGTCGCGTGCCACTCGGCTTTTAGCTTCCCTTCCGTCCCCCGGCCCCCCTCTTATTTCCGTGTCCGTCCTAGGCTGTTTCATACACTGCGTTATACCGCTATACTACGTTGCCTGCTTGCATGCATTAACCAGCGCACAACGTCGTCATGGTTACGCCCCCTCTCCCTCCTCGAAGCATAGATTTGTGAATTAGATAACATTAATGTCACAATTTTGAGACTACTTATTAAACTAATTCAGACAAGATGACCGTTAATCAACGTACGAAACGTAAAAAACACTGGCTGCATGCAATTTCAGGAACGCATCCAATGCGAATAGCGTTCTTGTTTTGTTTCGTAATTTATATTGAAGGAAACTGAATCAAACTTTTTCGCCAGCTGAGTATGCAAATCTGCGTTACATTTCTGTAAAGAGACGTTAGAAAATAATGAAAACCAGAAACTGCACTAAATAGAGCTCAAAGGGGATTTGCATGGCTCCTAGATGGAGTAAAGTCTGCTCTGGATTCTAAGGGCCGGAACATTGTTTTTTTTTCCGATTTGAGACATACGCGTATTGCGCTGTTACTGAAAAGTGCATTATTTTAATATCTTTGTCCTTACGGTGAAAGCCCCTTCACTTCTTTAAAAGCATAATTGTATGAAAATAGAGCTGTGGTCAGACTACGTTGAGTTAAATTTTTGTTTATTATATATAAATTAGTTTCTGTTCCAATATATTGGGAAAATTTTTAGAAAATCAAAAAATACGCGCCTCGTCACTATGTTGTAATTTTCCATTTTGGCGGTGCTAGTGTTAAGATTTTCGTGTTTTCCACTTATCAACGCAGTAACCCACGTTGAATGACACTAATGCTATAGGTTCTATACGCACGGCTAATTTTTCTTAGATTTTATTCAAATGTTTTCTCAGCTGTAGTGGTTATATTGAATGAGATGGGAAGATTCTTGTGAACGATGAACAGGCAAGAATTTTGAAGTGTGCGGTCGTAGCATATTTCAAGGTACTGTCGTATATATCAGTGGTATTCAACCTGGGATACGCGTACCCCAGGGGGTACGCGAAATTTAAAAAAAATATATATTATTTTATGATAAACACTGAATAATCAGTAATGTAATTTATTTTATTATAGATGTAGATTATATACTATGTATAACTTGAATTATACACCAACAATTTTTGGGGTACAAAGTTGAAGAGAAATTATATCTGGGGGTACGCGAACAAAAAAGGTCGAATACCACTGGTATATATATATATATATATATATAGTGAGAAAACTACGAGCTTAGTCAATAATAATAGTTGATAACGTTGAGAAGATTCGAATCGGATATCTCCTGAATACAAGGTTATTACCACAGTTGTCAGCATCCGTGCGATAGGCAAATTAACCTGGTTGATGGTAAATATTTTGGGGAAAATATGCCATGGGTGAGGTTCCAATGACTTGGCTTATCAGCCAAGTTTTGTGGAAGTCAACGGTTACGGATAGGCAGAAATGCTTAAAATCTGCATGCGTTCTTTTGGAAAGCGGCCAGCAGTGTCGCCATCTATTCTCTTTACAGCATTATATAGTCCCTTACATAATATGTGTTAGCCTGTCGTATA